CTTAATGAGCAAAAAGACCCCTGAACTTACACCGAACCTTCAAATAAGCCTCTGAACTTTTATTTCAGCAAAATAAGCCCCTGGACTCTTAAAAAGCACTAAATAAGTCATGTTCCCAAGGCTAAATGCTCAAATAGGGACTAAACATTTTAAGATTTTCTCAAATAAGGATCAAAATACACAATTCCAACAAATTAGAGCACATACTTAGCAAATTTTTACAAATTAGGGAATCTTTAAATGAAAACCAATGCTTCCCATGCATACACATTAAATTTGATAAAAAATGATATTATCATGTTAATTAAAAATCAAACCCTATTAATCAAAATAAATTCATTAAATATAATATGATATAAAATTATCGTGTGCTTTTCAATTTATATTTATCTCACACACTAGTATTAACTTATATTGTATCCAATTTGTAAAAAAATGTTAAGTATGTTTTCTAATTCGTTGAAATTGTGTATTTTGATCCTTATTTGAGAAAATCTTGAAACGTTTAATCCTTGTTTGAGCATTTAGCCTTGGCAACAGGGCTTATTTGGCGCTTTTTAAGAGTCCAGGGACTTATTTGGCCGAAATAAAAGTTTAGGAGCTTATTTGACGGTTCGGTGTAAGTTCAGGGGCCTTTTTATTTAGAAGTTATGAAGAGATGTGACTAGTTTTTACCCATGATTCAGAAGTAATTAACTTCTTGTTTTAGTACACTACAAGAAAAAGTATGCTTAGCAAATGCGAAAAGTCGTTGCGAAAAGGCAATTTGTCATGACTTTTTGTTAGTGAGATAACAATTGTTGTTAGTGAGACTAGTATAATATATCAATGTTTATGACGATAGAATATTGTATTTTCTTTTTAATATTTCAAGACGGGATTCCTAAATTCTTAACTTCAATGTATGGTGGCGATGGAAAAATTTTTTATCTCTGTTTTTTCTTCTTCTTCCCTCCATGGTGAGGGTTCTCTCTTGCTTTTGTGCAAGTTGTTTTCCTTAGATTATCCAGATGGAAATTTTAAGGATTCGATTGTTGTTAGGAGGATCTCTTATCCTGTTTTTCAGTTTCAAAATGGAATTCAAAATTTTGAGAGAGGATATCAAATCAAGCTGCATATTTCAACTTCGCACGATTGGTTTTGCTGGTTTGTCTATCCTTTTGGTTCCCTGTGTGCTCGTTTTCTCTTCTTTGAAACAGATAATTGGGGTGTCAAATCTACGTTGTCGATTCAAGATGAGGATGGGGCTAAGGTTGTTATTGAGCAGAATTGGATTGATGATGTGGAGGGAGAAGGAGCTTGGTTTTCTCTCATCGGCAAGCTCTTGTTAAAGAAACAGCTGAATGTTGAAGGTATGCGAATGGGGTTGGGTCTAGCCTGGAAGTTGGCGGCGGCGGTAAGTCGTTCTCTGGCAGAGTCCGTCGTCAGAGGAGGTGGTAGCCGTCGTGGTGGCAACCCATTGTCATGTGCTCCGTCAGTTACGGGAGTTGGCGGTATACTCGGCTTTGCTGGTAAGGCAGTTTCGAAAAGTAAGGAGCTGGTTACTGAAGGGGGTGGCATGAATCAAGGAAGTAATGCTGGACCTGAAGTAAACCATTGCAAGGAAATGGTCAACTGCAGTATTTTAAAAATTTGCATGCTTCTCAAAATCTTAACGGGCGGTTACTTGTTGGGCTTCCTGGTTTATTATAAGGGTCTAGTGAGTCTCCTACAGGCTAAGTCTTTAGGTCAGAATTTATTCAATTTTATTCTTAGTATTGGCCTATTGGATTTGGCATCTTGCTTGCATCTAGGATAGTATAGTCTTTACTCTTTAGGTAGGGGGTTTGTTTGTTGGGGTAAGGGTTTGTTGGCTCATATATTAGCTTGATACGTTTCAACGTTGATGCTAATTATGTATCGATGTACGGGTCTTCCTGCGCGTTTGTAATCCCAATCTCTATTGAAATTTCTCCATCAATGAATTTTGAATTATTTTCTCAAAAACACAACAACTTAAGATGGTTGTTGCTAAGAAAATTCTTATCATTACGTTATTTTATTTTTGCTAAAAGAATTATATTTTACGCAACAACTCAATATTGTTGCGCAAAAATATTTTAACAATGCCATTTTATTGCTGCTAAAAGAATTATATTTAACATAACAACTCAATATTATTGCATAAAAATAGTTTAACAACATTGCAACAACATATATTCGTTGTTAAAATGCTAATATGACGATATTGTTTTCGTAATATAAATATGAGTTTATTTTATATAAGAAATGTCCAGATCAATTCAATGAAATCTTATCTTTACTTTTAACTATTTTTTCGTTAGTTTTTATAAGGTAGTTTAATGCCTTTTCTTTTTCAAGCTTTTACTGTAGATTCTAGTCATGACTCATGAGCTACAATTTACCCATCCATTTACAGATCCGTGGCGTGGCCTTTAAACCTGACTACCCACTTGTTTACTCTTTTTCTCTTGTAGGTTTTGGTTGCAAAGAACTCTCCTCCTCTACAAAGAAGAATTAGAGGTGAGAACACTTTCGATTGTTTAATTGTAGGGGCACTTCCCTCTTTCAGGGGAAGTAAAATTTCAACAACAAATAGTAATGTACCATTTACTCATAATTAATCACAATCATAAATATATATTGTCCCTAAGGTGACATCATAGTTGTTAAAACTTGAGCAATTTTATGAGAGATCTCGCCTGAAATAGGTAGGATGAGATTATCAGACAACAGAGGGCTACTTCCTGATGTGTAGCGCTATCATATTATTCTATAATAAAATATATCATAAATAAATATATGGGTAAAATACAAGTGAGTCCAGAGGTGTGTGTGCGTCAGTGTATTTTTTCTTTATTATTATTTTATGATATTATAATGAACTAATAATAATCTTTTGAATCAAAACAAACAATATTGAAACGTACATTACTTATTGACTAAGAAAGTTAGATATATATAATATCATGCATGAAACTTTAGTGCTTTACTACCTAAAATTAGAAAAACCAATACTAGAGAAAGGTGGCTATAAAAGTACCTATTCTATTCTATTTATATTTATAATATATATATATATATATATATATGTAATAATCATTACCATGCTTTTCTTCCTTTACATTATACAATTAAAGTAATGATTGTATGGTAGCTTAATTTGGATGATTAAATTTTTAATGTACCTTTTAAAATGGAAGGTATATATATATCATATATGATCAAGCAAGTTCTTCCATCACAAGGGACAAATGTCTTTTTATATGTGTGGTTAGTATTAATTGTAATCCATGCTAGCTAGCTCCAAAAAGTTGGTTGGTTTTATTTATAAAAAAAAAAAAAAGTTGGCCAGTTTTTCAGTTCTACAAGGAACAAAAGGACCGGCTAGCTATTAGTTAGTATATTTCATTTCATTTATTTATTGATAAATATTGGCATCACTAGGAGCCTAGAAGCGGAGTTATGGGGAGTACGTCAAGGTTTGCTGATTGCAAAGGAACAGGCTTATGCCCCTCTTATCGTAGAATTGGATGCGGCTGTGGTGGTACACTTTCTTAAAAATTCTATGGTTAACTCCCATCCTTGTTATACTTTGGTGCGAGATTGTTTAGGGTTTATTCAAGGAGATTGGATTGTGGAGTTGAGACATATTTTCCGTGAGGGGAATTGGTGTGCAGATTGTTTGGCATTGTTAGTACATGATGGTGATTATGGTGTTTCGTTCTATGAGGAACGTCCAGGACAGCTCCTACACTTGTTACATAAAGACCAGGTCAGAATTGGCACTCTGAGACCGTAGATGTTGCCTTTTACTTTCTTTAGTTCATATGTAACAAAAAAATACCCATACCCATTCAATAAAAAGACTTGCCTAATTGCAATGCAGTGCTTTAAGACGTGACACACCCTTCTATATTGTATAAGAGCAACAACATATGCACGTGCTTCGCAACGGGGTAGTGTAATGAGAAAGTTTCGACTTATTCATGAAAGTTATAAATTATGGAACAATTAATAACTTTGTTTTGTCTGATTATTGATGCAAACACGTTATACTCAACCTAGAAGAACATAGAAGAAATTGAGAGAAAAGAGAGTTTAGAGAAGAAAACTGATTTTTCATTGATTGAAAGAGAAAGAGGTTACAACATATATAAAGGGCGTATCCAACACATCATTCTTGTATCAAACCCAATACACAATTTCCTAATGACACGGACCAAGGCCTTTCGACACATAGAGGAAGAGGCGAAGAGGGCGTCGCCGAGCTAGTTGGGGGAGAATGACACGGACCAAGGCCTTCCGACACATAGAGGCAGGACATGCCGAGGAGCTTGGCGGAGCTCAAGGCACTTAGATTGGGGTTTGCTTGGCATTTGGGCCTTTCCTAGCCCAAAAATGCGCCTGGTCCGAGATAGCCCGCGGTGGCCCGGATCAGACCCGCGTGTGCCCGTGGTCTGACCCATGCAACCAGCCACTAATGCTTCTGGAATTTTCCAGACGGGGCTAGCACCAGCCAGCACCAGGCACTCACTAGGCCAACACCGGCCAAAATGTGCTAGAAGGTTCTACAAGATCCTAAACCGACTTAGCTCCATTCTTTAGGCTTTGTACATATCCTAGAGGGTTCTAGAGAGCATGTAGGATCGTGCCATGTGGCTAAATCATGGCTGTCCATTCCATGAGGCCTCACCTATAAATAGGGGGCCTCCATATTCATTTGTAATCAACCATTTGTGCAGCAATATACTTGTACATTGCTTATACACTCTTTGCTTACCTTCCCACACTTACTTTCCTACAAGCTTACTTGTCATCAAGACACTCCTTTGCTAGCTTAAGCCCTAGCAAACCAAGAGTAAGGCTGACTTAGGCATCAAAGCACGTTATCCGCTCAAGCCTAAGGCCGCACGGTGCATACTTGAAGTGTGAGCCCGTGACAAGTGGTAATCAGAGCCATTATTGATCCGCTGAACCGAGCCTAGGAGTCCGATAGCATGGCAAGCATCGAGGCAACATCACAGGGGCCAACTACTAGGAGCCGAGCCCATCACCAACGTACTGGCTCGCGGGAGGAGCCTTATAGCCTTGAGGAGCGCATGGACCGCATGGAGGACGCGGTGGAACGCATGCATGAGGCTGTGGAAGGCATGGATACTCGCATTGTGGAGCTAGAGGGTGATGTAGAGTGGCTGCGAGGTGAGTTCCAAGGGGCCCTTAATGAGGGATTCGACCGACTTTCCAAAGAGTCATCCGAGCGAGACGATGCTCTTGAGGCCATGGTGGTGGCATTGAGGCGAGAAGTGGAGGAACTTCCCCTCATAGTGGCCTTGCGGAAGGAGGTCGAGGAACTCAGGGAGGAGCTCGAGAGGTGTAAAACCGCCGTAGGAAGGGGTGTGTTAGCGAGCATGCCTACAACCAAGGTGGATGTGCCAAAGCCTAAGGAGTTCAAGGGGACACGTTCTGCCAAGAAGGTTGACAACTTCCTATGCGGCATGGAGCAATATCTCCGGGCGACAAATGTCACCGACGAGGCAACCAAGGTAAATACCGCTTCCATGTACCTTGTTGACATTGCCTTGTTATGGTGGAGGAGGAGGGCAGCGGCCACCCCCGCTATAAAGACTTGGGAGGACTCAAGAAGGAGTTCAAGTCCCAATTCTACCCGGAGTATGCCGAGGATGATGCGAGGGCCAAGCTGCGGAGGCTCACTCAGCGGGGCAAGGTGAGGGAGTATGTGCGGGAGTTCTCCGAGCTCATGCTCCAAATATCCGACCTAGACATGAAGGAGGCTAAATTCATGTTCTTGGACGGGCTAAAGCCATGGGCTAAGCAAGAGCTTCAATGAAGAGGAGTTGAAGACCTAAACGAAGCAATGACCGTGGCCAAGTCATTGATCGAATTCAAGAGGCTCGAGAAGACCAACACGCCCAAGGAGAAAGGCAAGGGCAAAGTTGGGGGAGACCGGGACAAGTCGAGCAAGGGAGGCTGGGGTAAGTCCTTTTCCCATAAGGGTGAGTCCTCTAACAAGGACAAGGATAAAGAGAAGAGGCCATTAGCATGCTTCTTATGTGAGGGGCCACACCGAGTAAGGGACTGCCCCAAGAGATCCAAGCTCTCGGCCATTGCAAGGGAGGAGCAACAACCCGAGAAGGAGAAGGAGATTCTCAAGCTTGGATCAATCCTACTATCCGTTGAGCCCAAAAGGCGACGCAAGAAGGGGCTCATGTTCGTAGACATAGAGGTAGCCGACCATAAGGTGAATGCTTTGGTGGACACTGGGGCCTCGGATCTCTTTGTGTCCGAGGGAGGCGCCAAGAAACTTGGCCTAAAGGTGGACAAGGGCCAAGGTTGGATCAAGACAATGAACTCCAAGGAGGTACCGACCATGGGAGTTGCACAAGGACTCGAGCTCAAGCTAGGAGCATGGTCGGGCAAGGACAACATCGAGGTAATTCCTTTGGACGACTATGACTTTGTTGTTGGCCTTGACTTTCTTGATCGCATCAATGCACTCTTGGTGCCCTTTGCCGACTGCATTTGCATACTTGACCCCCGGAGTCAATGCATTGTTCCCGTGAGGAGGGAAACCGGGCAAGCTACCAAGACCCTATGAGCCATCCAACTAGCCAAGGGCATGAGGAAAGACGAGGAGACATTCTTGGCTGCACTTAAGTTGGATGAACAGGCCATGGAGAAGGAGCAAGCTCCACTCGAGGTACTTGAGGTGCTCGAGTCATTCAAGGACGTGATGCCTATGGAGCTGCCCAAGCGACTTCCACCCAAGTGAGAGGTGGATCATAAGATCGAGCTCGTGCCCAATGCACAACCGCCTGCCAAGGCCCCATACCGGATGGCGCCACCTGAGTTTGAGGAACTTAGGAAGCAACTCAAGGAGCTTATTGATGCTGGCTTCATCCATCCATCCAAGGCACCATATGGAGCACCGGTGCTGTTCCAAAAGAAGCATGATGGGTCCTTGAGGTTATGCATCGATTATAGGGCACTCAACAAGCTCACGGTAAAGAACAAGTACCCCATTCCGCTCATTGTAGACTTGTTCGATCAACTTGGAGATGCGAGGTTGTTCACCAAGCTTGATTTGAGATCAGGGTACTACCAAGTGCGCATAGCCGAGGGGGATGAGTCAAAGACCGCCTGTGTGACACGGTATGGCTCCTATGAGTTCTTGGTGATGCCCTTCGGCCTCACAAATGCTCCAGTCACGTTCTGCACACTCATGAACAAGGTACTCCATCCTTTCCTAGACCGTTTTGTTGTGGTTTATCTTGATGATATTGTGGTCTATAGCCGTACCTTGGAGGAGCATGTGGAGCATTTGAAACAAGTCTTCGAGGTACTCCGGGCTCATGAGCTATATGTCAAGAAAGAGAAGTGCTCATTTGCCCAACACGAGGTACCTTTCTTAGGCCACATTGTGGGAGGTGGCCATATTCGCATGGACCCGAGCAAGGTGCAAGCAATCCTTGAGTGGGAGGCGCCCATTAAGGTGACCGAGTTAAGATCGTTCCTTGGCTTGGTGAACTACTACAGGAGGTTCATCCAAGGCTACTCAACATCACCACACCCTTGACGGAGCTACTCAAGAAAGGGAGAACGTGGGAGTGGAGTTCAAAGTGCCACCAGGCATTTGAGAGGCTTAAGGAGGATGTGACCAAGGAACCAGTGCTAGCCTTGCCGGATCACACCAAGCCATACGAGGTCCACACGGATGCCTCTGACTTTGCTATTGGAGGTGTGCTTATGCAAGAAGGGCATCAGATCGCCTTTGAGAACCGCAAACTCAATGAGACCGAGTGGCGTTACACGGTCCAAGAGAAGGAGATGACCACAGTAGTCCATTGCCTGCGCACATGGAGGCACTACTTACTTGGGTCGAAGTTCGTGGTGAAGACCGACAACGTTGCCACGAGTTATTTTCAAACTCAAAAGAAACACACACCGAAGCAAGCTCGTTGGCAAGACTTCCTTGCAAAGTTCGACTTTGAGTTCGAGTACAAGCCGGGTAAAGCCAACATGGTGGACGATGCACTTAGTAGAAAGGCCACCCTTGCTACCATTAGCCGCCTCGAGATGGACTTGACTGCACGTATCAAGGAGGGGTTGCAACATGATCCAACTGCTCGAGCCATAATGGAATACGCCAAGGAAGGAAAGACTCGACGATTTTGGCTCGAGAATGACCTCATCTACACAAGGGGTAACTGCTTGTATGTGCCTCTCTATGGCAAGCTACGCAAGGAGATTCTCAAGGAGTGCCATGATTCCATGTAGGCCGACCATCCAGGTACACATTGAACCTTAGCACTTGTGGAGGAACACTATTATTGGCCGCGCATGAGGGACGATGTGGAGACATATGTGAATACTTATCTTGTGTGTCAACAAGACAAGATCGAGCAAAGGCTACCTGCGGGACTCTTGGAGCCGCTTCCCATCCCCGAGCATCCATGGGAGAGCGTTTCTATGGATTTCATAGTGGGACTACCCAAGGTGGATGGGTTCGCTAATATCATGGTAGTGGTGGACCGCTTCTCTAAGTATGACACTTTCATCCTGACACCTAAGGAGTGCCCGGCCGAGAAGGCAGCTTGGCTATTCTTAAAGCATGTGGTAAAGTATTGGGGTGTGCCCCGCAACATTGTGAGTGACCGGGACAGCCGCTTCACTAGCCGGTTTTGGATGGAGTTGTTCAAGCTCTTGGGGTATGACTTGAACATCTCTACCGTGGGACATCCCCAAACTGATGGGCAAACCGAGCGGGTGAATGCCCTATTGGAGCTATACTTGTGGCACTATGTGAGTGCCACACAAAAGGATTGGCCAAAGTTGCTGGACGTGGCCCAATTCTCATATAACTTGCAGCGGAGCGAGAGCACGGGGAAGAGTCCGTTCGAGGTTGTCATGGGACTACAACCGGCTACCCCGAGTCAGTTAGCATCGGGCTACACCGGCCCCAATCCAGCAGCATACAAGTTTGCCAAGGAGTGGCAAGAACAGGCAGACTTAGCTTGTGTGTGCCTACACAAAGCCGCCAAGAAGACTAAGAAGTGGGCGGACAAGAAGAGGCGGGACGTGGAGTACCAAGTGGGTGACTTGGTTCTTGTCAAGCTTTACACCACACTTAAGAATCCGGGGCTACACACGGGGCTTGTGCACCGATATGAGGGTCCTTTCCGAGTTCTTAGGCGAGTAGGCAAGCTGGCCTACAAGTTTGACATACCTCGAGGGTATAAGTTCCGGATGCACCCAGTCTTCCATGTGAGCCTGCTCAAACCATACCATGCTGACGAGGAAGACCCGAAACGAGGCAAGTCAGGGCGTGCACCATTCCGCATCACAACAAGGTTTGAGAAGGAGGTTCAATCCATCATTGCCGAGCGGGCGGTGGGACGCAAAAGGAAGGGATGTGTACAGAAAAAGGAGTACTTAGTGCTTTGGAAGGGGCAACCCGAGACTGAGGCAAGTTGGGAGCCAGCCGAGGCACTATGGCAATTTGAGGAGTATATTAGGCGCTTCCATGAGGAAGAGGCGACGAGGGCGTCGCCGAGCTAGTTGGGGGAGAATGACACGGACCAAGGCCTTCCGACACATAGAGGCGGGACATGCCGAGGAGCTTGGTGGAGCTCAAGGCACTTAGATTGGGGTTTGCTTGGCATTTGGGCCTTTCCTAGCCCAAAAATGCGCCTGGTCCGAGATAGCCCGCGGTGGCCCGGATCGGACCCACGTGTGCCCGTGGTCTGGCCCGTGCAACCAGCCAATAATGCTTCTGGAATTTTCCAGATGGGGCTAGCACCAGCCAGCACCAACCACTCACCAGGCCAACACCGGCCAAAATTTGCTAGAAGGTTCTACAAGGTCCTAAATCGACTTAGCTCCATTCTTTAGGCTTTGTACATATCCTAGAGGGTTCTAGAGAGCATGTAAGATCGTGCCATGTGGCTAAATCATGGACGTCCATTCCATGAGGCCTCACCTATAAATAGGGGGCCTCCATATTCATTTGTAATCAACCATTTGTGCAGCAATATACTTGTACATTGCCTATAAACTCTTTGCTTACCTTCCCACACTTACTTTCCTACAAGCTTACTTGTCATCAAGACACTCCTTTGCTAGCTTAAGCCCTAGCAAACCAAGAGTAAGGCTGACTTAGGCATCAAAGCACGTTATCCGCTCAAGTCTAAGGCCGCACGGTGCATACTTGAAGTGTGAGCCCGTGACACTAAGGACAAAATAACTAATTATGGGACAATCATTTCTTGACAAAGTCCAAAGACCACGCAGGGGCCTTAACCTAATATTGTAGTTGTTGGGCCCGATGAAGTGAGGCTTGAAGGTCTGAGGCTTGAGGCTGAATCCTAGCTCGTAACAATTATCTAATACTACCACATACTAATATATATATATATATACACACACACACACACTAGTCATTACTTCCACGTGCATTGCACGTGACCCAATCTGTTTTAAATTAAATGAAGATTAAAATCTTAAGTATATTCTAATTTTGTCCTAAAGAAACCTATTATTAGAGTTGGCAAAATTTCACCAGAGTGTGTGTATTCGACTCAACCGCTTGAAAACAAACCTAATCCAACCCGATTTGACAAAAAATCCTCTCATTCCAAAACCGAAATGACCTGACCCCAAATCCTTAAAGACCTAAATCCGATCAATCCGAGAGATTAATCCGAAATTACCCGAATCGAGATTAATTACATTTAAATGACCTGTATCTAAAAAGACCTAAACCTGAAAACCGGAGGCTCAAACCCGAAATTATCGGAACCATATAACCTAAAACAAAAAAAGAACCGAACCAAAATTGACCCAAACCCAAATGACCCGACATTTGAGCGATCCGAACATAACCCAACCTGAAACCGAGAAATTAACCGAAGCCTTATAACCCATAGTTTCCTTAACCCGAAACTGATCTAACCCAAATCCAACTCGACCAGTCCATTTATATATACATTGGGTTTTACTATCAAAGTAACAAAAAAATTTATCCAAAAAAAAATATTAACAAAATAAAACAGTAAAGTTAAATCCTTTATCAATCAAAGAATTAATTATAAGTCAAATAAAATAATTACACGTTGGGAAATAATAAATTTTAATCATAATATATTAAACTATCAAATAGAACATGTCAATCAAAATAACCTTTTAAATTAAAATGGTAAAAGTAATATAATTATAAAATATTGAATTTAATTAAATGAAAATATAGTTTTTAGTAGAATAAAACTGTATATTAAAAATTTTAATATATCCAATTTTTATTGAAAAATAGTAAAATGATAAAAATAAAGAAATTACATTTAATAATTGAATAAAAATAGAGTTTTTAGTAAAATAAAACTACAATAGTTTACGCAAAGGTATCTAAGAAATATATTAAAAAAATAAGGGTATAATGGTCGATTCAAAAGTTTTACAAAACTCGTACTTTTATATATAATATAGATATATATACTAATATATATATGTATATTAGTGTCCCTGTTGTTTTACGTCTGTTGCACTCTTTAGCGCTGTTTATTCAATAAGATAACTTCTTGCATTTCAAAATATATATATATATATATATATATATATATACTAATAATTAATGAGCCTCTAATATGTTTTTTTTTGTCCATCAACCTCTAATATGCTAGCTAGTATACAAAAATTAGCTCTCCCACTAATTTAGTTTTTTACTTTCTCACTTATTGTCACTAAGTTAATTTGCATAATAACATCTATAAATATAGTACCCAACAATTATCTTAATGATAGATGCATTAATTTAAGCTGGACTTGAAATTTCTAATTACTAAACCAACAACAACAACAACAACAATAATTACTCCTAGAGTATAAAATGAGTATCATAATATTATGTTTGAGGGTGGGATATATTGATAGTCTGTACATAAAAATATTATACATACACTATTTTTATGCATGAACCATTCATTCCTCCAAACTCATCACCCTCAAACATAAATGAAGCATATCAATCGAGGTGTCGAATTTCTAAGCTTTGAGATTTGAGCTCACCATACCTTTGGAAGTTCCATATATAGAATTATATACTGTAGTCTGTAACTTAAAGTAGTAACTCTAATTTTTTTTTCTACTCGTAAACATTATATTGAAATGAGATACACAATAGAAGGTAATCATCTCCTTTCTCATAATCCCACACCGTTCATCCCAGATTTCGAACCCAGGACCTCTTATAAGAAATTTTAAGCTCTTAACCACCTGGATGATGTACCTTGGAAACGTAACTCTAAATTTGTTGCAATATTAGCTAGCAATATAAGTACAGCTGGTTTTGGACATATTGTACATGATAACGATTAATGAAATATATTGACTAAGCTTTCACCGGGCGAAAAGCCGAAAAGCTCATCTCTTAATGCTAAGTAATTAGTAAGACGACAAAGTCGACAGTTTCTTCCCAATAAACTGAAGAAATTTGAACATGAATAAGTACACCATAGTCCATTTTAAATTTTTATATATACCATTAATTAATATAACCTATCTACTAAAAAATACTACCAACCAGCTTTGGGTTTCATCATCCCCATTTTTTTTTTTTTTAATCAAAGAAAGGATATGTTTCTAGAAGGAACAAACGATACATCAAAAGTTCAACAATAAAAGGTAGCAGTAAAAAGAAATTCTACTGCTATTACAAATCATTGGAGCAGGCAGACCATCTAGGGATGTAACCGCGTAGGGTATCTGCGAATTTTGAGGTACTCGTACTATAATCCTATTATTTTTTAGGGTATTAGAACCCTATAACTATCCGATTATTTTTCAAAATCACGACTTGTACTCTACCCGTTTAAATTATCAATTACATGTTAACTACCCAAACTTGATAAAAAACCGAACATCTTTTTGCATTATAATTAAATAACAATAAATTAATTAAAAATAAATGAGTAAATTAAAATTAACATGTATTATTGTAAAACAAAGTTAAAAATTACATTTTATACCATAAACAAATTTTAATTATAGATTGATTATAAGTCATTTTTAAGTAAAAATATAATATATAAATAAAAAAAATATTAAAATAATTAATAACCGGGTTCAGGCAGTGGGTACCCTAAAATCACTACCCGAACCCATCACGAGTACTAGACCTACTACCCGTACCCTACCCTAACCAGATTATACAATACCCTAACCCTACTTAATCGGGTCGGGTAGTGCCGGGTACCCTATTATCTAATACCCATCTGCATATCCCTAAGACCATCTTTATTCTGAATCCGCACCAGTGAGGATGGTTGATACCTACTAATATCGGCAAACCTCATCCCCAACCTAGACTAGACAACAAGCCAATCCGCAGCCATATTGGCCTCCCTTCTCACACACTTGAAATCCGCATTACTAAAGCAAGTCCTTAACATATTAATATCAGCAATGACATGCCTAATTCTCAAACCAGATCTTCTACCAAGGGATACAATATATCGTTAAACAATTCTTCACAATCCATCTCAACCTCAATATAATCAATATGTAGCTGAAGGGCAAGTTTCATAACTTCTTTAATAGCCAAGGCCTCAATAATCAAAGTAGAACACCAAAAACTTTCTTACCAGAACCAGCAATCAACTCACCATGATGATCTCTGAGGATAATACCCACACCAGCTTGGGAAGACTTGCTACAATAGGCACCATCATAATTAACTTTAGTTCATCCCTTGTTTAGGCCCTAACCACAATGAGGCTTTAAAGGCTTTAGCACAATTTTGCCTTGCCTTCCCCAAATGGAGACAAATTCACTCACAACATTCCGAATCCATTGAATAACCTTGTCAACACTGATATCTTTATGTTCCATAACAGCCTTGCATCTAGTATTCCAAATAACCCAACAACTAAAAGCAATGGTTGTGTATAATGACTCTGCTTCCTTGCTGAGCTTAGAACATTCCAGGAAGACTTCCAGCAGCCATTGATCTATAGTTCTCACCCTTTCTTGGCAAATTTTTTAGCCCATGACAGCCTTGCCACCAAACTCTCCTTGTTCAATTGCAAAGTAGCATCATATGTTCCACAGTTTCAACTTCTTCCCCACATAGAACACAAGTAGGATCATCCTTACATCTTCTATTCCATAATTCCTCATTGGTAGCCAAAGCTACAACACATTCTCTATAAAAAGATTTTGATCTTCGAAGGAGCATTAATATTCCAGATTGCCTTCCATAATCTCTTATGGCCAAATGTCCAATTTGGGTCTAAACCTTTCGCAACTTGCTCAATTTGAGTCTAAAACTTTAAAGTGAACCAAATTAGGCCTAAACGTTATTGAAACCCACCAAATTGGGCCTAAATTCGACAGAAATTAGAATGTGTAAATCACACGCAGTTTTGACACGTTGCAAATTTAGGGAAGGGTCCACGTGGATTTATTAGGCCAGATGGCTGAAAAAAAGCCCATGTCAGCACCACCAACTTGAAAAAAAATTATTAAAGAAAAGAGCCAAAATAATACCGTAGTACTTAAAATAAAAA